TAGGACACATGTAAAAATAATTGGTCAATTTTGTGTCATACTTTATGATAATATTATATATTATATATTATTATATATTATATATTATATATATGTGCCACAATTATGGATTTTAATCTAATAATTACAAGCATGTTTGATTGCATTGGGGAGGAATATAATCCTTTACAAGAGTGGTTCGATGATCCGGCATCCCGTATTGTTGTCTGGCCATATGTTGGATATGGGCATCGGATACATATACTTGAAGAAAAATGAAGGTTGAGAGCAACATAAAAATGTACCATCTCCCTCAATCTTTCTTTATCCGAACCCGAAGTTGTTGTCATATTATTTTGAAATATACGGGTTGATTTTAAGACAAAAGAACATTTCAATTGTAGATAATAAGAAACTTAAATTGCATTTTCTAGGTTAAACCATTTTCATTTGGCTTCTCGTTTATAAAACCATAAACTTTAGTTGAAAGAACTAAATAATAATAAATATGAAATCAAAATCCGAGATCTCCCACAATCTTTCGCCAGTCTGGTGCTGAGTGGTCCAAGAGTCAATACACCAACAGATAAATCTGTCAAACCCTTCAACCTATCAGTTGTTGATTTTAATAATGGGTTCAGCCAGCAATTTTGGGTTCTTTCCATGTGTTTATGTTTACGAGCAATGGTGCGCTCATGAAGAAAATTATAACGAGGGGAAGGGGTTATGTATATATATTGACATCGGAAGGAGTTATATATACAAGTATTAAATGGAGCAATTAGATGATACAATAACCCACGTTTCAGCTACAGTCCGAATCATTGCACATGAAAAAAAATTACAAGTACTAGTGGGGTGGTGTCATCTACCTCTATAAAATACTGCAGACTCCACATGTATCAATACCTGCATTTCATTTCATCTCCTCTGGCCAGTAAACGAACAAAACATCTACCGAATCGTTCGGCGAAACATTCATTTAATTATTAAACGGGTGAATATGAACAATATTTTATGTTCGTTTAATTAAATGAACGAACACGAACAAAGGACCGTTCGTTTATTTACGTTCGTGAGCGTTCGATAATCTGTTCGTTTATTTGATGTTCGTTTATTTATATTCGTTCAGTTATATTTAATTCAATCTCCAAACTCGTTTAAAATATTAAGACCTAATGAATTTTAACCTTAAACTCATTAATATTTTAAAATCAAATTAATTTTAAACCAAAATAAAAACACCCAAATCAATTAAAGAAAATATAATCCCTATAATTATGTGGTTTTCTATTTTTCAACGTCTAAATATTGCTTGCTTGTTTTCTATCTTCAGTATTATATGTACAAGACCTAAAGTAGGGCATTGGAGTATTTCAAGAATATATATGCGGAAAAGAGGTTGTAATTACGTAATTGCTTTACGCTTTTATATCGTATATAGAATCTCGGAATTGCAGTTGTCTGATAATGAATGTTCCTTTTTGTCAGCGTGAGTTCACATACATTCTTCAACAGCTGATTCATTCCACTGCCATGAAATTCTCTTGTTTATTCAGAATTTGTTATGTCCAACTTTGTCACTGAAGGAGAGGCCCTCTTTTTTTCTTTTGGAATTTCACTTCATATCAAATAAATTTTATCCCTGGAGGTAATCGGTATAACCCAACTATTTACTACTGAGTTAAAATAATCCAAAAACAAGTATCACTAATTATTTCAGCATTATCACATTCTCTTTGCAGGAAACTTGCATTGGAAAAACATAGAAAATGGCTTTGTGGTTGGCCACCATTGGAGGACAGAATATGAAGTTGTGTTTTGTAATGGTAAGCGCTTCTACATTCTGATGATGCTCGATTTAAATGAGATAAATTTTAACATATCGAGTACTGAACTTGCAGGTCCATTGTTGTTGCACATACAAAATTGATGAGATTTATCGGCTTTATTAGAGCCTTTATAAAGGGCTGCAATCCTCCATGCATCTGGAACATCAAATCTACCCATAAACAAGTTTTTCATTAGCTTGAGAAGCATCGAATCAACTCACCAAGAAGTTTTCTTGGGGTTCTATTTTTCTTTGTAAAGGGTGTTTATACAATGTTTAGTGGGAAAGGTTTGCTCGGGGAGAATTCATACTAAATGTAAATTTTATACAATGTATATTTTATTCAGGAAACCTGTCATGGGCTTTGTCCATTGTTTGCGAGACCCATTCGAGCCTTGATGGAAACGGAAGCGAGACTGTGAGACTCCTTGAACTCGGTTCCAACATTCCACACCGCGTTAACATCTCTACCCTCTAGAAGCCCCTTGTCATGCACCCATTTGTTGCGCCTATTCCAAGTGTTCCAAAGGAGGGTAATAAGCTTTGAAAGACCTTCCCGGTCGAATGGACGCCACTCCTTCAAGGCGTGATTTACAGCTGGAAGCTTGCACCTCAATGCATCCACGGTTCAGCCCCGAAACCAGCAACACATCCTTCACCGTTGAGCAGTCTTTAAGGACATTACTTGTTACAACTCTAATCACAACACACAATACAATAAGTAGTTATGACAACTCATTGTCAATCTTGGACTATAGACAACCGAGCCACAGTGGCTAAAAACACATTCTCCGGGCTCATGTTGATCTCGAAATCTTGTGGTAATGATGTTTCGAGGTATGTAAACTATAAGCAGATGATGTTTCAAGGTATGTACAACAAGTAAATGGTTTTATGCAGCTCGTTGATGATTGGCAAGAGACTGGTAACTTCACATCTGCATTAGAAAAAGTCAAATCTTGGGGCATTCTCTCGTGTAGTAGAGTCCGTGTTTGTTCCTCGTTCCAGGCTCTTACTGATTCATATATGCAACCTGCAGGTGAGGGCTCATAATTGCAATCATAATATGAAGAAGACATACATTCTTCAAGAGCTAATTCATTCCTCCGCATTCTACTCCCATGAAATCCTCTTGTTTTTTTATTCATGGGTTGAAGATTGATACAGAATTTGTTAAGTCAAATTTCATCACTTAAATTGTCCAATGTTTGGCCCTTTGTTAAACTTGCACCAGAATAGACAATGGCTTTGTTGTTAGCCACCATTTGTGCACAGACTACGAAGTTGTGTTTAGTAACAGGAAGTGCTTCTACAATGACATTTATAACTTGCAGGTTCATTGCTGTTGCACATACGAAATTGATTAGAGCCTTTATAAAGGGCTGCAACCCTCCATGCATTTGGAACATCAAATCTACTCATAAACAACTTCTTCATGAAGTTCATGAGAAGGCAACATGTCTATTCACCAAGAATTTTTCTTTTATGATGCGTTTTAGGGATTTTCTTTTTCTTTGTAAATAGTGTTTATACAACGTCCAGTGGGAAAGGTTGTTCGGGGGGAATTCATACCAAATGCATCTTGTACTGTGAGTTCAGTAGTGAATTTTTATCTGAGCAAGGCTCTGCAGATGTAGGTGTGACACCGAACTACATATAGAATCTATGGTGTTCATTGTTATATTCTTGAAGAATATGGGGTGCAAGACATATGGTAGGGCATTGGAGTACTTGAAGAATTTATATGCAGAGAAGAGATGGTAATTATCTAATTGCTTTACGCTTGTAAATCATAATAATCACACAAATGCAGTCATCTAATGAGCAGTTATGTTCCTTTTGATCAGCATGAGTTCAATGGAAGACATACATCTTCAAGAGCTGATCCATTCCACCGCATTCTACTTCGATGAGGTTGACATACTCCTAGAGGATGCGAGTTCGAGAGAGCCTAGGCGGGAAAAGCCCTCTTCAGGTGAGTAAATTAGATAAGAGTTGGACAGTTAAAGGTTTCTCAGGAATCTCAAAAGAAAAATGAAGTTGACAACATTGTTTGATGCAGGGCAGGGCACCCTTTTAGATGGCTGAAATTTCAGCCAACTTTCTTATTGAAGCTTTGGAGGAGAGGCTGATTAAATTGTTTCCGTATTTATAGATTAACAGAGATACTTTAAACTCATATGTGCAAATAGAAAGGTTGATGATGATGAGCATTTTAGTCCAAAATAAAAAAAGTTTTGATAGAAGGTTATAAAAGGTCTAAACATGAATAGAATGTGAATTTGTTAGTATCACAGATGATGACCAAATTAAAAAAAAATAAAAAATAGGCGATCACCCCCATCTGTTCTCCTCGTTTTATCCCTGATTGCATATACGAAATTGATTAAATTAACTTACTTTATTAGAGCATATATAAAGGGATGCAATCCTCCATGCATTTGGAACATCAAATCTACTCAAATACAAGTTCTTCATGAGCTTCAGAAAGCATCAAGTCTACTCACCAACTTTTCTTCATGAGTTCATGGGCTTGTTAGAAAACAAATGTACCTAAATCCCATAAACATGATTAAGTCGGCTCAGCAGCTCAATTTTTTACATATTTAATTTGGTTGCAGCTTATCAAGGAACTGCCATTGTTTCTCTAAGAATGTGTCACCACTTCTTATAATAGGTATTATAATATATAAAAACTATTTATAGTATAATTATTTATATTATACGTTAACTAAATATGTTCAGTTTGATATATTATAATTATTTGAATACAAATTCGTTTTTATCATATTTATGACGTGGGTGTACGAAAATACTTGACATAAAATATTTATAATTTAATAGATGATTATATATAGAATAGAAGAAGATTTATTTATAAATTCATTTATCACGTGTTTGAATATCATGTGGTGATTTATTTTATCTAAATATTAATATAATAAATATGAAAAAGATAGAATATTATCATAATAATACTGATTATCATTTATAAAACATGTATTTATTATCACATAAAATTTGGAGTGTAATTAATAATTCGGTTTGTCTATAAAAAATATTCTTACGAAAATACTTTTGCTAATAGATTTTCTATATTTCTTTTGGGACTAAATTGAACGAATTTAAAAGTTTTTTAACACCTTAAATTGTAATTATATACAAAATGCTTCCCTCCATATTTATCCGAAACAAAAGATTCCCCCCCTTTTTCCCTCGTTTTCTACTTTCTCTCTCTAACGTCTAAACCCTCACTTTCTCTCTCTTCTCCTTCTTTCCCAATTTCAATTCTACCCCCGCCTCCATGTCCGGCGGCGCTCCAGCCCGTGATGGTCCCACCCTGTCGTATCCTCCTCCTTCTACGGGCTCAGCCGCACCTTCATCGACGGCTCCTTCCGTTGTTCCGCAGATACGTCGCTACCTGGCCTTCGCCTCGACGAAGCCTCCGTTTGTTCAACCTGATGATTATTACAGGTTTTCCTCCAGTGCAGTAAATGCTAGTGAAATCATCGCCGATCAAGAAGTTGAATCAATTATTGTGAGAGCTCCAGTGAGTTTAATTTTTCTTTTCTGGAGATGGCGGTTGCATCGTAATTAGTCACGATATTTCAATTTTGATGAGATTTATACTCTAACTTAACATTTAGTGTCATGTGTTTATCTGATCTGTTCATAGATGGCGGTATGTTTTCTTAGGGGATAAATTATCAGTAGCATTATTTGTTTGTGCAGTGAAATCGCTATGCCCGTTCTTTAATAAGTGACTTTTGGCTGGCCATTCACGTATTTCACGATTTACTCGAATCTGGATAGATTCAAGTGATCATTTGCTAGACTGAGTTGAAATTTAATGAATGCTGGCCTCGTCCAATGTCCAAAACCTGATGACTCGTGCATTTTTATGCCTTAATTTGAGAATGCTAAGTTTTAGTACAATAATTTTTTTCAGACATGCTGATGAGGCAAAGATCTAGTATCCAGTTATGGGTTTTGATGTTTTGGATTTCAAACATAATTGCGGTTGATAGCATGTCAGTTCTATGTAATAAAGTTGCTACGATTGAAGTTTATGTTTATGCAACTGCATTCTTGGTTTAAAGCCGAACATTCAGTGACATGCCCTATGTGAAGAAAGCTTGATGTCTGTTAATTCTTTTGAAGTTGCGGCTCTGATGGATGTTTAAGAAATGATTCAAATTGATATTCTTAATGACCATGACACTATAATTTCCCCTTTCTGTATCATATGCATGCTAGTTTGTTGTGCACACTTATGTTCATATATGATATCCCCTTTTATTATTGTCCTCTACATGATAACAAGTGAACTACTAGTTGTTTTACTTGATTTTTTCTCGGCATCTGTTTCTAAGAGTTTTAGGCCTTTGTGAATACCTTTTTGAATCAAGTAGTCAAGCAATTCTTCTGGTTAACAGTAAGTTTTCTTATGCATAGCATATTTCTGTCCTATATCTGCATTTGTTAGACTTTCTTTCTTTTTAGTGTTTTTTCCCTTAATTCAATTGGTTGTTAATGCATATAATCATGTGCAAATACTGAGTAAACTTGTAATTTATACTGCTATTGGAACTACTTTGAAATGCTGCTGTTTACTCCCAGCTACTAAAAAGGAAGAATACAGTGGACACAAATGAAGTTGAGTCTAGCCAATGGACAGGCAGTCTAGGAGTTACCAGCATCTCCAACAGTCCCTTCCAGACACCTGTATCTGCTAAAGGAAGGGTAAATTATAGATCAAAGAACCCTAAGGACAATAAATCTACACCTCAGACACCTGTGTTAAATGCTGGTGAGAAACCATCTCCTACAAGCATAGTCCATAGAAGGAAAATTATGATCACACTACAGTCTATTATCAATACTCTAATGATTGAATTAAGAGAGATATTTTTTTTTGATAGGATTGAATTAAGAGAGATATATTATGTGGAAGAGGAATTACAGACATCATGTATGGTAATTGGCAGGTTCTCCATATCCTCTTACACCCGCGGGCAACTGCCGGTATGACAGTTCTTTAGGTAATCTTATGACTGTTCTTTTTCCCTTTTAACGTCATATTTTTGTCTCCTTAACCTCCTATGGATGGTGAGAACCGCAATAATGTGATCACGATTTTTAGGTCTGTTGACAAAAAAGTTTGTTAATCTGATAAAGCATGCTGAAGATGGTATCCTTGACCTCAATAAGGCTGCAGAAACATTGGAGGTAATATACGACTAGTGATCTTGTTTAGTTGGGTGTTTAGTGAGTGTATTCTCATGTTACTTTAAAGGTCCTTTTGTTTTCTTTTTTTTCAAATGCTGCAACAGGTGCAGAAGAGGAGGATATATGATATAACAAATGTCTTGGAAGGCATTGATCTTATTGAAAAGAAGTTCAAAAACAGAATACGCTGGAAGTAATTATTTGATAATGTTAAACATTTTTTCTAGAATTCGATGTTTTAATTTGGTCTGTCATTCTGGTTAACCTTCAAAGAACTTGGGACTTATTTGAGGATTAATCAAATTTACTAGGGGTGAAGGTGCTTCAAGGCCAGGAGAAACAGATGGTGATGTCTCTGTAGTACAGGTACGTGAAACTAAAATCAGTTTTCTTTTTCTTTGACATCCAGGCAACAAATTTTGCTCTTGTGCATTAGAATTTTTCTTTAGTTCTTTATGTTGAATAATTAATTTTGAAAAGATCTTCAGTAAGTGCTGCTTTACCGATTTGTGGTTTGTTCCCAATACATATGGGCTTGATTTCTATTCTTCTATGCAGAGAGAAATTGAGAACCTTTCCATGGAAGAGCGCAGATTAGATGATCAAATAAGGTTGTAAATGGCTTATTATCGTGTTAGAGTAGTAACCATTACTGTCTCAAATCTGTTTAGGAATGCTGATGCTTCTAAAATATTGCAGAGAAATGCAGGAAAGGTTAAGGGATTTGAGTGAGAATGAGAACAATCAGAGGTAAGATTTTCTTGCCTGCCTTTCACTGGAGGAATCCAATTAATTGAAGTTAACTGCTAATTATTTGGAAAAAAAGATTTACATTTACCCATCTTTAATCTGTTTCAGGTGGCTATTTTTGACAGAAGAAGACATAAAGGGTATACCTTGTTTTCAGGTTTGTTGATTTCTTCCCACTAAATTTACACTTTTGCAATCATCTTCTGCATTTGACACTGATCTCCAAGACATCTTGGTTTTACTGTAGCTGAATTTTCCATGTTGATTTTGGCAGAATGAAACCCTGATAGCAATTAAAGCTCCACATGGAACAACACTGGAAGTACCTGATCCTGATGAGGTAAGATCGCTGGAAAACTTTAATGACTTAGTACAATGTTCCACTTGCATGATTTAAAGGCATAATGGGGTTGCTCCTATATATTCCAGGATGTTGATTATCGACAGAGGAGGTACAGGATAATCCTTAGAAGCACAATGGGTCCCATTGATGTTTACTTAGTCAGGTGTTACTCCCTTCTATATATTTAACCATTTATCCATACATGTTTATGAACCATCTTTCTTTTGAGATAAAACTAATTGATGATGACAGGAGAGGTTGTTTTAATTTCTTTCTTTTCAAATTGTTGTTTCCTCAGCCAATTTGAGGAGAAGTTTGAAGAGATAAATGGCGTTAACCCACCTGTGACTGTCCCACTTGCTTCAAGTTCTGGCTCTAATGAAAACCAAGTTGAGTTGATCAATACGGTGGGCATCCGAAAGGAGATTGAACCACAGGCACAGCAAAATCATCAAATCGGCTCTGATATTAATACTTCACAGGAGTCTGTCGGGGGAATGATGAGAATTGTTCCATCAGATATCGACATGAGTGCCTTTTTTTCTTTGACCAGTTTTTACTCTTGCCAAGCTTTAGAAACATCAAATATATGGAGTATGGACAGCGGTTTTTGTCAAAGTTATTTATGAATTTGTAATACCGACTATAATTTTTTCTTGTCTGGTTGTCAGAATGATGCAGATTATTGGCTTCTATCAGATGCCGATGTTAGCATTACGGATATGTGGAAGACAGATTGTATCCTTTTATTTTTAGCTAATCAATCTGCTCAACCTGCCAAAGGCATGAGCAAGCACTTGCACACTGTTTTATACATTCTCCAACAGTAGAGCTTGCCTTAACTCCAAGAATAGCAGGTATTGAATGGAGCGGAGTCGATATGCTTCATCCAGACTTCGTAATGGCTGCTGTTGGTACCCCAAGGCCAGAAACTCCTCCTTCTAGAATGACTGAAGTGCCATCTTCCGATTTTAACTCAACTAAATAGGTAAAATGAATTTCCCTAACCAAGCCCTGCACAAAGAATGGCAGCACCCCATATCTTTATGTTTACATGGATGGTAAGTATAGGGGTTATTTGCCATTCACTGCATGGTTGAGCTATTTATCTATCCCCTATGGTTTTAGTTATAAAAATAAAACGTGCCGGCATCGGAATTCTGGTCCATCGAATCTGAGTATATACGCACATTAGCATCCCTTTGTTGATTTGAGTTTTTCTTAATCAGTCATTAGTTTGACATATCAAAATTCGAAAGCAGCCATACCAAATGTAAATGTGTAGAATTGGTGCATTGAGAAGATGATCATTCGGTCCATCTGTTTTTTCTGCAATATCGATCATTGTGTACGGAGATTGTGACCATAGCATCCATAAACAATCATATGATTATAGAAATCCAGTGATTTTTCTACAGCATTTGCTCCCTCAACTTTTTCACTTTGTGGTTGTATTTGATCTATTTTGTTATAGCATTCATGGTTAGGGATGTTCATGGGATGGGACGGGTTGATATTTTTGGTCGCCCCAACTTGAAAATTGAAAGCTTCCACCTGAACTACACTGGTGTTGGGGGATATTCTACTCGTCCCGGATCTGTCTTGAATTTTGAAATAAACCATTCTATCCGACTCGACATGAATATTTTTTTCATTTATTCAATAAGATAGGAAGATAATTAAGAAATATATATAGAGATAAACATTATAGCATAGTATAGTAATTATCTTGGGTTGTGCTTGAGATTTCGATTCCACTCTGACTTCGATTTTCCCATTCACAAAACTCGCCATTACCCACCGTCTCTAATCCAAATTTCAAGAAAGGAGACTGATCTTATAAGGTAGGATTAAGTTGGAATTTATTGGGTTCGAATAATATGACCATCATTAAACTTCGAATCTCATATAATAATAATAATAATCTTTTTGTAGAAACAGTTTATATTACAAAGGGACAAGAAAAAAAGTAAAGAATGAATTGAATTTGACACTAGTTATTCAAGAAGCAAATTTTGGGTTTCTTCTGTTTGTGTTTGCAAATTTGTGGGGGGTTATACAAATGTTCGTTTGTTACAAGTTGTTGACTGTGTAGTTTTCCCTGTTGGAGCTTGGACTCTCCGTTGGGTCTGACTTAACGAGTCTTGCCTCCGAAGAGTCTACGACGGGCTGGCCGTTTCTCGTCAAACTCCAATTGGTGATCTAGAACCGGATCAATCTGCATCGAGTCATTGAAGAATTAGAGAATTTAAAACAGCTAATCATTTCAAGTTATACATCATATATAATCACACCATTGATGAACTTTTGATGTACTATTGTCATGGTGTTCGATTTGATTCAAGTAATCAGATCATATCGGTTATGATCATTTCAAGTTTAAGGTCGGGATTCGGGTCGGACAAATTGGTTATTCGGGTTTTTGAATTCAGATCAAAACTTACTATTTGTAACTCGAATTTAATTTTCTAAACAGCAGGGTAATTAAGACTTACCAGCTTGCCTTGTTTCAACCTCGAAGACTGACCAGACAAGAACTGCAACATCTCGACCCATTTGGTCTGCCCCAACTCGGTGCAGTTCTCCCAATAATACAGAGCAAAATCCCAAGCTCTGGCTCTCCATTCCTGTATCGTTCGACCAAATTCGGTTTCATGTCTCACCATGTATGGCTTCAGCAAGGTGTCGTACACATAACCAGTTCCCTTCATTACCAAGAAAACCAAAGCTTGTAAGTGTGTATTAACTTGCAAGTTTTGCATAACACACATCAAATGCATTGCTTGTACGTTATAGTTTTACCTTGGTTTTGGGATACCATAGGTAGATCAAGAGTGTAAGCTTCAGCTCGTCATAGATCGGCAACCTTAAGAATAATTAAGAAAAATGTAATATCAGTATTCGATCAAAAAATACATATATTCGTATTATAATCGTATTATGTTTTATATATTCATATTGTGGTTTAACTATTTTCTCGTCTAGGAGTGAAACGTACCATGAAAACAATGTGTCCCCTATGCTCTCGAAAACTGTCAGAAACGCTACGACGATCCTGCAAAATCATCATGGTAAATCACAAGAAAAAATGATAATTTATATAAATATATAATTATGGATTGTTATGATATGTATGTATGTATGTATGTATGTATGTATGGCCTAACTAAAACATAGTTATGATATGGGACTAATTAAAACGTAAGTACCATGCAATTAATTTCACCTTCAATTTATATATAAATTATTATCATATATATAGAATATCTTCGATAAATATTAATAGTAAATACTTTGATATGACTAAATGTACAAATGTATATTATATAAATTTATATATAAAATTATGGATTGTTATTATGCATAATATCAATGAAATTTTCTTTATAAACGGAATTAAAATAGTAATAAACGTTCTATTATTTTATTTTTGTTATTTTAGCGAAAAAAACATTTATATTTATTCTTTTATTTTTTAATTTTAATTTGATAAAAACGGATTAAAACCAATAAATCTTATATAGCCAATATATTAAATATAAATTCACCCAAAAATATATGAAAATGGGATAGAGAAATAGCAAAGGTCAAAGTTTGACAACTTCAAAACCTTAATGAACAATTTAAATTGGAAAGACTATAAGCTTAAGAAACGTTGAATTTCTCAACCATAGAAGAAGGATCAGAAAAGCAAAGAAAAAAACAAATAATAATAATAAGGGTAAAGTAAACTAGAGGTCATTGAAATATGTTTAAATAATTGTTTTGATCATTGAATTTTTAAAAATTATAAAATAATCATTGAATTTATTAAATTATTATAAAATGATCATTGCAGTGTTATAATAAATAAAAGTTCACTAAGTTTAATAACTATATTATACTAGTTTGATAAAATTTAATGATCATTATATAAAAATTCGATGAATTTAATAAAAATTATAATTATTAAAAGTTTAATGATTAAAATAATATTTAAACATAATTTAGTGACCTCTAATGTAATTTACTCTAATGATAAGTGACTTCGAAAGAGAAGAAGATTGAATTGATCAAATTCTAAGCATGAATGAGAGAAAATTATAGCTAAGAACTCAAAGGAAAAATTGCAAGGAAATGTGAAAGGCTGAGACTTGTGAAAAAAAATACCAATATTGACACCAAAATCTGAGTTCCTCGATTGAAACCTTATTCTTCTCCACTGTTTTAAAGCATTCAATAGCTGGAAATCCATATCCAAGGACCAACCTGCAACGCCCAAATCAAAACCCAGAAATCAAACCAGGCAACCCCTTCTTAGTTCTATTCAAAACCATAGAAAAAAAAACCCAGAAAAAAGTGATGAAATCATTACTTACACAAGCACCCTGGTAATGAATTCACCCAACATTTCTTATCGAAAATTTTCCTGGAAAATAGAAAGAGAGTAAAGAAATCACTTCACTCAATCATTCATTGGTAAAATAAAAAGAAAAAGAAGAGAAACCCAGATTTCGAAACCTTTTAGAAAAGATGGTAAGCCAAATGGATTAACGAAGCACCTTGATGATCTATATGATATCAACAACAATGGAAGCTTAAAAGAACCAGAAACAAAGTGATGAAAAGGCGAGTTTGTTGAGATTCTTCTGAACGAAATTCCGGGGTTAAAAAAAAACTAAAGGTATGGGGAATCAAATTATGGATAGTGTTTGATTTCGTGCGAGGAAAATGTGATGAGCGACCGACAGAGAAAGAGAGAACAATGATGGTTTTCTTATGGGCTGAAACTTGAGATCCAAGGCAAAACCAAAGGAAAAAATGCTTTGGCGTTATCTTTGCTTACAAATATATAAACTTTGTTTATTTTGATTCAAGTCTAGAAGATGAATTAGGAAGGTGAAGGTGACGCGTTTCATGCTTTGAATTCGTCTTGAAATTATTTTCGATAATATTGAGGTCTCAACCTTTAAGATAGTTTTGTTAAAATTGTTGGTTTTTAATATTAAAAATAGTTTTCGTCTAATATTAAAAAGTTTCACATTTTGTCCATATTTTCTTTAATTAAATAGGTGCATATTATACATGTGACAAGTTCACGTTTGCTTATATTTTCGATTTCGATTTGTAATTACGGGTTTTATAACGAATATAAACGATTTTCTGAAAATAAAAAAAAACCATAATTATTTTTAAAAATATATAAAATTATGAATTAATTTTGAAATTGCTACTTGAATTTCCATCGTAAGCAATTTGACTGGTTGTTCTGTAAAACCTTGGAATTTTATAATATGTACATTTGATCCTTCACGATTCTTGACAGGCTTTCTTCTGGATCATTCAAGGTTGGCTCCTTTATATATATATTTCATTACTCTCTTTTTTTCTATTTGAACGTTCTTATATTTAACGTGATTCATAAATAATTGTTCATCTATTTAATAAAATATCTATAATAAAACTAATGGTTTGTTATTGTTTTCGTATCGTTAAATTTTTTTTCGTTCACTTGAATGAAGTGATTACGTACACATCTATTATAATTCGGGGCCGCCAAGGAAAATAACACTCCCTTTAAAGTTAAGGAATTATTTATACATGTAAAAGAACCCTTTGGATTATTATTTATGAATTTATAATTAAATCTTAAAAAAAGAATGAGGGAGAGAGTGTCGGGGAGGAGAGGTGAAGCAGAGAGAGCAGCTCAGGCGTCAAAGCTCTATACTGTCTTTGTCAATAATGCGAGTAAAAGGATTCATGCGTCAACACTCAAGGAAGCGTTCCAGGAGTATGGAGCAGTGACTGAGGTGTTCATTGCGTTCAGAAGTAGAAAGAGATTTCCAGCTGGCTCTACATTCGCGTTTGCCAGGTTCAAAAGTAAGAATGAAGCGAACTCAGCGGTTCGTAGGGCGGATGATGGATGGATACATGATCAGAGTTTATCATGATAAAGCATTGGAAGTAAAAAGTAAGAGACCTGAGTCTGGAAAATTGGTTAAAAAGGTGTGGAAGCCTTCTTTAAGGGATTCCAGGTCATTTTTGGGCGTTCGCCATGATGAAGACGGGATGTCACAGGAAAGGAAATAACGAATCAGTCGTATAGGATAGTCAAGTCGGGTGTTGTTGTTCATATCATTATTACGTAGGAATGCTCTTCAAATTTAGTTCCGAATAGTTAAACATCTAGTACGAACATTGTTGTTCCTAAGAACGAGTTACAGTGGAGAGAGTGTTGTTTGGTCAGCAAAATTAAAAGAATGTATAATGAAGACATTATCCAAACAGGCTTTGAAGCAGAAGGTTTTGACGTGAGGGTTAGTTATTGGCATGAGCTGCAGGTGGTTATCCAATTCAAGGGGAAACGGAGCGTCATGTTTGTTGGGATAGAAGAGATGAATGGATTCGAACCTGGTTTGATGAAATGGAATTTTTAGAAGGATATGAGCAAAGAATATGGGTCGTTCTGAAAGATGTTCCATTGATAGTATGGAGTAATAAGTTCTTTAAGGAGTTAGGGAGCTTGTGGGGTTCAGTAGTATCGATCCATGAAGAAACCAGTAAAAGAATTAGATTTGATGAAGCTAGGATTCTTCTGGAAGTCCAATATGTATCGGTTGTAACAGAGAAATGTGCTATTATTATTAATGGTAGGGTTTTCATCATTAAAATTCTTACAGAGCTCCAAGAAGAGGGTAGAGTGTTCATTAATGGCACCACGGCTGGCGGTGGAGCGTGGCAAATAGACGGTGTTGGAGAGGGGATGATTCCAAGGCTGTAGGAGGAATATGTCGTAGGTGATGGTCTCGATATAGGCATTAATGAAGAAAGAAATTAGGATTCGCTAAGCCAGAGGAGCGATAATGGAATTCTGACAGAAAGAGCTTCGCATGCAGTCCCTAACGTGGATAACAGGGATGTTGTAGTTGATGGGTTACACGATGTGCCAATTCAATCTAATGTTGGGCCTGTAAATCAGGTTGATGATGAAAGTATTGGATTTGTGGAAATAAATAGAGAGATAGCCCATTATGGAATGACCCAATCTATTTCCAATAGCTCAAGGCTATTGGAAGTGCCAATTGAAGAGGTTTCCTCTTTACAAGTTTGGGATTAGGGTCTTCGGGATGTTGCTGTTGTGGTCAGTAAAGATAAAGCGATAATTGAGTTTGAAGGTGTTTCGAATTCTGCTGTGGGCAATTCAGGAAATCGCGGTAATAAGGGGTCGTCACAGTCAAAAAATATTTCCTTAAGGAAGAAGAAGAGTGCTACAGGACGCATAGTGAAGCTAAATTCTGGAAGAGCTCAAAATAGGGGCAATACACCCAATGAGGACAATTACGGTTGGTCTCTGAGGATAGGAAATGAAGCGGAGGCGTCCCTAGCAGTGGCGGACACTTTGGGCGTGTAGTTTGCGACTTCAAGAAAGAGGGTGCTTGAGAGATTGGAGACCCTTGGTTTATCAGGTAAGCCTTGATACTGCTATTGATTAATGGGCGGGTTTGTTTGTGGGTGTTATCATTACTTCATGGAATTTGGATTATCTGTTTTAACGTGGAATATTATAGGGATGGGGAAGAAGGAAAAGGTAAGAACGGTTAGTCGGGTTATTGAATCAAATAAAACTAATGTGGTGATGCTACAGGAAACTAAAGCTATGGTTATCCCTGTTTCTGTTGAGAAAAGGATAAAGGGTAGGCTAGATAGGGAGTTGGTTTTTGCACTGGCTGAAGGTGCCTCAGGTGGTTTGATTTCCTTGTGGGATTGTAATGTTTTTAATGTTAGTTGTCAAACTGTTCTTAGGAGAATTATAATGTTAAGAGGCGTGCTTGTTGTACATAATATGGAAATCGGTATAATCAATGTTTATGGTTCGAATGCTTATGGAGAAAGAGAGGGTTTCTTTTAACAATTAAATAATGTTATCGCAAATCTGAAGCTACCGGCTATTGTGGGTGGGGATTTCAATATCGTTAGGTCGGATTTGGAAAGAACAAGGGATCATGACATTTCGGCTTCAATGTTGATTTTCGAAGAATTTATTACCAAATGGGACTTGATAGATGTTCCAATTTCTGACAATGTGTTTACATGGTTTAGGGAAGGGTTGAGTACGGCTGCTAGTAGTCTTGATAGAATTTTAATCTCTTCTGATATTGCGTGTTTATGTCCAAATCTGATGCAAACTACTCTCCCTAAAAGTCTTTCCGATCATAAATTAGTCATGTTATGCAAAGGAAGATAAAAAAGGCCTACAGACCTTTCAAATGGTTTAACTATTGGATGGACAATCACATTCTTACAGATAAAATTAAGGATGTTTGTCGAGCTAATAAGGGTAGAGGTCTGAATCATGTGTTGCAGTTAGCAAAGTATGTGACTAAGGAATGTGATAGGGTGTGCAGGGAAATAAAGAGCGATTCGATTGAGGAATTGGAGAAAAAAATTGATTCATTAGAGAATTTATGTATTTTGAATCCAAGTGATAATGCAACTCAATCTGAACTTGTGTTAGTGAAAGTTAAGTTGTGGTCAGTATTTAGAAATGAAGAAAGAGAATGGTTGCAAAAGTCGAGATTAAGGTGGTTCAGAGAAAATGATAAGAATACTAAATTCTTTCACCTAACTGCTGCGCTAAGAGGTAGTAGGAACCAGATTTTGAAACTGAAGGTGCACAATCTGGTCTACAAAAATCAGTCAGGGATTCAACAAGCATTCGTCCATCATTTTCGTTCTAATTATAATGATGTGAAGACTATTCCTGTAAAGAGTTTTGATATTCCATTCAAGAGGCTCAGTGCTGCCACTAAAAGGTTGATTGAAAGCCCATTCACAGAAGAGGAGATCTGGCTCACAATCAAGTCATCGGATGAATCAAAAGCGCCAGGTCTGGATGGTTTTATTTTGGATTTTTTAAGAAATTTTGGAAGGACATTAAAGCTGACGTTTTGAAATTTATGGAAGACTTTTATTGGGGTAAAATTAAAGATTTCTCCTTTAACAAGTCGTTCATCGCTCTCATTTCGAAGAAAATTGAAGATGTTTATCCTGAAGACTTCATACCAATTTCATTGGTGGGTAGTATGTATAAAATTGTGGCTCGCGTATTGGAGAAGAGAATGGTATGTTGCATAAATAAAGTGATTGGCGAGAACCAGTTCACTTTTATGGCTGAAAACCAGATTTTAGACTGTTGTTTGATTGCGAATGAAGTCATTGATGAACTGAATAAAAGCAAGTCTGAAGCAATTTTGGTCAAGCCAGATTTCAGCAAAGCATAGGATACAGTCGACTGGGATTTTTTGAATTTGATTTTAAAGAAAATGGGCTTTGGTAAAAGATAGAGGAAATGGATCAATATGTGTATTTCAACTCCTAAGATTGTTGTTCTAATTAATGGTTGTTCTTCTAAGTGTTTTTCTATTAAGAGTAGTCTTAGGCAAGGCTGCCCGTTATCGCCATTATTGTTTAAAGTTGTGGGCGAGGATCTCAGTGGGTTGTTAAAGAAAGTGTTTGAATCTGGATTGTGGGGAGGGGTGGATATTGGACAAGAAGGATATGTGTAACATCCCAAACTACGGGTTAGTGACCAAATTGTAAAATTTCAGAATTTGATGATAAAAGTAGAATACTTGAATAGTTCAATGATTTATTTGAGGATATTTCCTGAAAGTTTTAGTAATTATCCAATGAATTAAATGGTAAAATGGTCAATTGACATTAAAGATATTTTTATCCCCTTTAATAGGAGATAAAAACGTGGGAGATGAATGCATTTTATCTTCTTCTTCATTTCTTCTTCTTCTCCAACCATGGAAGACTAAGC